CTTATTTAATTAATATAATATATTATATATATAGTATAAAACAATAATAAAAAAAAGCTTAAAATTCATTTAAATTTTACTTTGTATATAATTTTATAATTTTATTTTTATATTTTCAGTAAAAAGTTCTTAATTTTATTTCACTTTTTTAATGTTTCTGTCTACATTAAGGTTTCTAACATTACTTTAAAGGGTAATAAATTTTATTCTTCCATATGGGATAATAATATTAAATATTTTTATATCACAGTTGCACTATTTTCATAAAATATCAGTAATAATGTAAAAGAATCTTCCATTTTTATAATTTGCATTTTTTGGTATAATTAAATACAATTATGTATGCATTTTCTACATACAACTATCTATACAAAACTTCTATTTATTGTGTATAGAACATTTAATTTACTTGACTAATTCATTTGTTTCTATATATTAGTCTCTGCACATTATCATTTGTATTAATGTAGCCATTTATTAAAGAGCAGGATTTAGATATGTGGCTTTAAACTATTACATATAAAGGACTCTTTTCACCCAACCCTATACTATAATAATAAATTTAAAAACTTGGTTTCGTGCCTTATTTTTAGGACCGAATTTATATATAAATCCTAGTCTTAAGCCTTAATATTTACCTTTTATATAAGTAAATATTAGAGCCAAGAAGTATAATTTATCACTGAACACTAAGCGCTAGCTGTATCTGGAAGCACGAGGTCTCTCTATAAAAGAATCTGTATAAAAATTTGTATTATGTACAGATTAAAGCTTAGTTTTTAATAATAATAGATTAAATGTATATTAAATTGTTCAACAGAATATATGCAAACGGTATACAGTACAAAATATCATAAAATCTATCATTAAATCTTTGTGTATAGGCTATACCTGATATTTTTATCCCTATAAACCGTTTCAAATTGTTATTTTATTAAATTAAACGTATGACATAAGCTTAAAATTAATTAAAATTTAATTAAATTTTATACATTATCTGAAAATTCAAGTAAAGTCAAAGCATTTAATTACACGGATCAACTAACTTAACTTTATCGCAATTACTAAACTTACATATCTTATATCGTCTTATAATAATTAGATGACAGTATATAATCACTTTATTTCATCATATTACGATCTAATTTTGTATTATATAGTTCATATCTTTTCTACAATTGCGAAAATCTTACAATTTTTTTAAAAAATTTAAACCATTTGTTCTTAATACAGGATGCAAGCACTCCCATGATGTGAAGCATCTTTCATAGTTGTGTTTTAGATGTTTAAAAATATATACGCTATATTTACTTAGTAAAAGAAATAAATTTATACAGCTTATAATAAAATTTATATAATACTGATGGCCAAACTGTGGCTCGCCAGCAGCATGTGGCCCTTCTAGATCCTTATTGCGGCTCCCATATACTTACACAATTTCTTCTTTATGAACCTGAACTATTTGTATAATAGTTTTGTAAGTTTCTTGACTAATACGTAGTGTAATATACATAGAAATTATAAAAGAAACTCTCAAATGAGTCTCGAACAGGCGATTGAAAGCTTAGGTCATATTCATATAGTCGAAGGAGTTAAATGATTACTGGTCCTTTATGATGATTAGGTAAACAAAGTAACAGTGATATTTACTACAAGACAGTGGTAAAGTAGAGCATCGATTATCCGACCCCCGAATAACCGTCACCTCGGTTAACCGACCGCGTTCTAGTCGGTAAATTCAAATGTCCGCTAGTGATGTAGCGCTACAATATTTGGCTTTGTCTTCGCTACTTTAATATTATTTTTGTTAAATTTTTGCGTGTTTTAGCTGGCAACACTGGCTCGACCATGAAAGGGAGGCCAGTATTTAAACGAGGCTTAATTTTCTAATTATGAGTGGTTGTTTGTTTTGTGAGCAATAAAATAATTTAAAAATAATTTTTAACGATACAATAGCGACGATTATTATTTTAAAAAACTTTGTTAGGCTTAACATCGATGAAAATTCAACGGGAAGTAAGTTAATAGCGATATACTAATATACTAATTACATGGGATATAATAATATACTACACTAATAATGAATTTTTTCATACTTTTCGGTTATCCGACTTTTCAATTATCCGCCCAACCCCAGTCCCCAATTGAGTCGGATAATCGATGCTCTACTGTAATTATATTATATATAGTAAGAGTATGTTGCTCTCTAATAGTCATTCCAATAGAAGATTCATTTTCGATAGGTAGTGTATGGCTCCTATTGTGAAAAGGTTTAACCATGCTTCATTCAGCAGAGTGTTTTTGCTCACAATTTTAAACGTTTTAATATAATTTTGGAAAAGTTTCATTCTTACTAAAAATGATCCTATTGCACTTATTATTTTTGGTTTTTCCAATTTCAATAATTGAAGATAGAAGAGAATAAATTGCATTTATAATCTGGAAAAAAAGAACAATTTCAATGTACTTCAAAATGATCGTAAATATCTATATTAAAAATAATTTGACATATTTAATTGTAATATTTTATCTTAAAATAAAACCTTATTGTTATATTCATTTCCATGAAATATTCAAAAGTATAACTAGAGGGGTCACTGTGAAAAAAATCTTCTGATTACTTTTCTAACACGTGGAATCATGAACCATACATTGGTAGGACTTTTGATCATTGTTAAGGAATGTAGACTTAATAGAGATGACTAAAATAGATATTTTTGTAAGAATAAAAATAGTGAAGAATTAAAATAGAAGAAGAATTATGGCATCTGAAATACCATAAAGAATAAACTCCTAACGTTATTTGTATAATTTATTCGATTTCAATCCGGACATTAATGCCCAGTTTCAATGGAATTAAATGGACACGTAAGTTAATAATTGTTAAAACAGATAAACTTGTTTGTTTATGTTACTCATTAACAAGTTAGTCGTTCAATTATTAATAAAATCTTACTCTTATGAGGAATGTTTTCTTTATGTAAAAGAATCCTCCAACATTCAGACCGATTGGATATCTTCCAAATCTCTTCATGAAGTTCAAGATCTACAACAGAAAAAGACACATGAACACATAATTAATAAACTATAACAAAATAAAATAAAATCTAGTTACTTTCAATTTGTACTTAAGAGAAAACTTCACATTCGAAAGAATATTGCAGGTATTATAATTACCGTACACCTGAAATACGAAGAATTAAATTAATAAAATTTCTTTTGAAAATTAAATCAGAAAATAACGAATAATAACTGACAGAAGCTGTAATTCCGGATAATTTCCAACATATTAAAATGCCTATAGATAATAACATAATGGATGTTATTATAAAAACAGTTCTCAAACTGAGATCCAAATCAAGCTTTGTCGAAATAAATAAAATAAAGCAAGTGTAGTAGATATAATAGCCATAACTGATAGGAAACAATAGCTTTCCAGTTTCGCTAATATCTTGAATAAAAAGCCATAAATGATAGTGTTTCTTGATGATTCCTTCAAAACAGTAAGCATTTCTGCTGGGTTTTTCAATGATCATGACAAAGAAATAATTCAAACTTTCAAATGAATGGAGTAACAAAATAAATAAAAACTGCCAAATTAAAGCAAAGCTATACATTATATTAAGAATATATATAAATAAAATGCTAATATCAATATGACAGAAGATAGTTTCGAATAAGGATGCATTTGAAAAACATGGATAAAGATAGAAATCCATGTACAATATTACAGCTATTATAACATTAAACATAGTTACAAATGTTAACATGGAAACAAAGAAGATTTTTCGAGACAAAGTACAATCTTCATCGAAAATGTATCCATTTGGATCAGGAAAACTGTTCTTTTGGAAAAACATAAATAGAAATATGCAAAATACAAGTAATGTAATTAGAATTGGCATAAGCAAAGATTTTGAATTTGATAGCAATTTTAAGCTTTCCTTACAAACAACATCAACGTCAAACAATGCTAAACAGAAGAGCAAGAGATTAAAACAAAGGAAAATTTCTATTAAATATTGGTAGAACGTATATAATTTGAATCGGAATTTTGCTTTCGTCAAATTCCCTTCTTTTATATAACTAATACCAAATATACGAGAAATCTTTTGGCTTAAATATACGGTTTCCATGTGTATAGATTACAACTTAAAATATATAATAAAGCAATATTAATTTTACAATGCTTTTTGCAAATTTGAGTACAGACGAAATTTACG